AAGAAGAAAAATAATAATAATAAAAGAAATCTATTAGTTCACGCTACTACTGTTTATGGGGCTAATTTCTATTCTGGAAAAACAAACAAATTGATTATGATGAAAGGCACTCAGCCCGGGATCACTAAAGATGATCTCGGATGATGTTATGCGAAGAGTCCAAAAATAGTAGACAGGACGGACTTCGGGTCCATAGTCACATAGAGTCATGTATATTTGCATAGAATTGATGGGGGCAGGCGTGGATTCGTTACAAGTTATATCTAGAGCAATAGTTTTTTGATAACAGGTGAGTTAGTATGTGAAAGTCAAAATATCTTGTAAATATTCTTGTATATATATAATAAAGACATGCCATACTAACTTGACTATGGATTTAAAAAAAAAAAGTAAGATTAATTATTAAATATTTAAGTTTTTATATTTAAAGTTTGATTTAATTTAATATATTAAGAACAATTTCAAATTTTTTTTTAAAAACAATATATATATTTTTAATTTAATTTATTTAATAATATAAAAAACAATTGACTTTACAGAATATCATATTATTTCTATAATCAAACTTAGAAACTTTTTGGTTTGAGATATAATAAGTATATTTTTTATCAAATAATCAATTGACATAATAAACACATGCTACTACTTTTATATATAATAAATAAGAATAAAAAAATTTTTTTTTATAAATGATCATACATTGTATGTTTTACCATTGTTTCCTGCATGTGGTTTTCAAGAATAAGATTTTGTTTTTTTTTCACCTATCACGCGATTTGATCAAGTTTTGCATCTTTCTTTTTACCTTAACGACATCATAAACGTGTTTCTTTGCCACAATTAAATTAGTTACTCAATTTGTTTGAAATAGTGATCTGATTCAGTCACCGTCAATATGATTTACGTATTCTTTGCCTTCTTTTAAACAAAATATTAATGATTCATCAAAATCTCATCGAAAGCATTGCCTCAAAATGTTTTGACATTCTGCTATAATCAAAGCCTGTTTATATACAGTACATGATAAACGTACAAGAATCACGGTGTGATACGTAATGTTTATAGCGCTTCAAAGAAAAAAAAAAAGCCTCATCTATCACCTGTAAAGGCTTTGCTTATCTGTCAGACCGTTACACCGGAAAAACCGATGTGCTGCGCACGCATTTCAAGTCGCAATTTACGCCTAAAATATTTGCCGTACAAGACATACATCTAGAAATGTTATATAAACACTGGATTTTAACATACATTCCTTCTGTAACTTAATTTTTTTAAAACTCGTGATGACTGAGAAACGCAAAAATGTTACCGTTGCCTGCGACTATTGTCGCAAAAAAAAGACTAGATGTGAAAGACAATTTTCTAGGTGTTCTAAGTGCGAGCACGATAATGTGGAATGCCATGTTGGGGATGCAAAAAGAAGAGGGCCACCTAAAAAGACTCAAATAAAATCGTATGCCAACGGTAACAAAGACAGCATCATCACATCCATTCCTTACGGCAGTAACATTAGTGGCAGCCACAACTTATACAATGACATTGACTGCAACCGCAGCAACTTCGAAATTGACGGTAGCAACGACAGTAACGGCAGTGACGACAGCAAGAGCGACATTGATGGCAGCAACGGCAGAAACGGCAGCGACCATGGCATTGACAATGACATTTACGGCATTAAAGATAACAAGAGCGACATTGATGGCAGCAACCACGGCATTAACGACAACAAGAGCGACATTGACGGCAGCAACCACGGCATTGACTTCTACGGCAGCAACCACGGCATTGACTTCTTCTACGGCAGCAACCACGGCATTGACTTCTTCTACGGCAGCAACCACGGCATTGACTTCTACGGCATTAACGATAACAAGGGCGACATTGACGGCAGCAACCACGGCATTAACGATAACAAGGGCGACATTGACAGTGACTTCTACGGCAGCAACCGCGGCATTAACGATAACAAGAGCGACATTGACGGCAGCAACCACGGCATTAACGATAACAAGGGCGACATTGACGGCAGCAACCACGGCATTGACAGTGACTTCTACGGCAGCAACCACGGCATTAACGATAACAAGGGCGACATTGACGGCAGCAACCACGGCATTAACGATAACAAGGGCGACATTGACGGCAGCAACCACGGCATTGACTTCTACGGCAGCAACCACGGCATAGACAGTGACATTTACGGCAGCAACCACGGCACAGACATTGACATTATTAATGGTATTTCCAGCTACGATAATCAAAGAATTATCATATTCTACCTTTACAATGATCATGCTAACGAATATTTGTCAAACAAATATAAAGGAAATGATATGATGTCAAAATTGAAAAATTTTAATTTCGTCTCAACTGAGAACCCCCGGTTTCACGAAACGGAGAACCAGAACGAAGATATGTTTCTCTCAGAAAACCCGTCTCACAAAACAGAAGACCTGGGAAAGGAAATGTTTAAATATTCCCTGCCTCATAAAACAGAAAATCAGAACAAAAATACAAATCTTGAAAATTTTCTTACTCTCGAAACCGAGAGTCGAAATGAAGACATTTATCACGAGGATATCCTACCTCGTACAACAGAAAATCAGAACAAAGACAAGTTTTTTGTCTATTTTAAAGACACTAAGCTTCTTAGGCCTACAACGGCCAAGAACCAGAACGAAGACATATATCCTGAGAGCCCCCGGTTTCACGTAACCGGGGGCCAAAACGAAATCACATACGTCCGACCTCACGCAGTTGAGGTTTTGACGAAATTTAAATCAGAAGACTCCGCCAATATTTTTCTCACAGAACCGGCAAATGCCGACGAAATCATTGGCGACGAAATATAGTATAAATGTTATCCAAGTGTTTTTTTTCTATTTGTCATTGTTTCTCGAATGTAAGCTAGAATATATGTCCTAAGGAGGTTCGCGATTGCGGTTGTTTATCAAAGTTGGGAGAATAGGAATATTGCTTGAGAAAACTTACTAAAAAAAAAAAAAAATCTTTCTTTTTTTTTTTTTTGCAAAAAAATGAGATGTCACGATGTATTTTTTTTTATAAGAATCAAATAAAGTAAATTTCATCTTTATTATTCTTTTTTTTTCAAATTATTCGAAGAAATTGTATTCTCAACTTCCGGTTTCTTCACTTCGGTACCCCTGCGGATAATGTCCGTCAGATTTTCTTTTGAATTTCCACCCGAGAACAATTCACCATAAGTTTCCTGGAACCTTGGCGTCGGGATTTGCCCAGCATCCTCAGATGGGCTACTTTGAAGTATGGTCTTGATCCTCTCAAGAATTTCTTGTTCGTCTCGATCACTCGCACCAGACACGCCGGAATCCAAGGAATTCTTTAGAGGTTCCATGACTTCATTGAGATACAATGGAGGAGATTTCGAAAGTTTAACCACCGGTTTTCCCTGATCATCAAATTTCGCCTTTTCCACATAAAAGCTTTCTAATTTTTCTCTTTCAATTTGATTTAATAATATTGTTTTATGAGACAAAACGTTTGCAACCATGCCACTAACACCGACGGCATATCCCGAGGGGATGTCTCGGTTTAGGATACGACCTTGAACCTTAACATTAACTCCGGGGTTATTGTGCGAGTAAGTCAATCCGTGAACGGTTGATTGTTCCCTCTCGTAAGTGATATTTAGTAATTCACGTGGTGTCATCGGGGCTTCGCTCTTTTTAGCTTCTCGGTATTCCCATTTCCTCGGTTCCACCTTTTTTTTCAAAAATTTCTTAAACTCTTTATCGGACATCCTGCTGATGTTAATTGGTTTTAATTTACCTTCCATTGGTTTTGAGACTTTCGCGTAAGGAAAATTCTCCTTCCAACGTCTTGTGAATTTCATCATAGTCTGAGCACTTTTATATGGAGTTTGATGTTCTATAGTATCAAGTGCGTCAATGGTGATGGCATCGGTGCGAATGAAGCCTGGTATGTTGCGTTTTATTCCCCATTCACCACGATTTTTAAATTTCCCGTAAGTAATATATACTTGTGGTAAGGAAGGATCAAAAGATGCTAGACGAGATTTACGCAAAAGTTCATAAAAACTCATGGCGACCGATGATTTTATTTAGTTAGTTGGTAATGACGGAAAGACCGCGAGGTGTACATCATGGAGGAAAAAAGTGTTCATAAATTAAGTTTGTGGCACATGACTCATTTTTACGACCAATGAGATTCTGCATCAAATCAAGGAGGGTTTGGAATTACACGGGTTTTTTGATCTTCCTTAATTTGTTCCTCAATGATGTCATCGTGATCGTGGTGGGCACCGGTTATTTCGGTGGAATGAGTTGTCTCAACCACCCCTTGACCAACGTTAACGACGACGTCATCCTTATTGTCACTGGTGCTGACAATTGTTTGTTCAATTTCGCGTACGGTGGATGAGGAGGACGAATTATTAGGCTCAATAAAATCTTTGGCTTCAACGGAGATAGTTTCAATCTTTTCAACAGATTGGGTGTTCATCCTTCGAATGATTGTGCCATCCAGCTTGATTACATTATTTATGCTGATTGATTGAGTGGGGAAGTTAAGAGAGGTTGTCCGCGACATTGTATTCACGCGCTTCCCGATTTTCATCTGCAGGAACGAGTTGTGAAATTTCAGAATAAAATTGATCTATCTTTTCAGGTCACAACGATTATCTGAACATGCGAGGAATAAATTTTTACCACAGGTATGGATATTCCGTGGACAACGATCGAGGACATGACTAGAAAATAGACGACTACAAAGGGGGATTAAAAGACATCTTTTTGTAAGGCGTGAAGGAGATGTGAAGTTTGTTTATTAATTACTTACTTGGTTTAATAAGATCTTTGGCCGTAGAAAGCGCATCATATTCTACCAAGGCCTCCCTTGTGAGTTCGCCGTAAAAGACAGCGCCAACGCCGATGGGACCAAACCATCCAGCAAAGAGTCCTAATATGCATGCAATGATTATCCCTCATTAAGCTTTAGATAAAAAATTAAAAACGTGAATAAACAAAAAAAGAACGGTATGGAACCTTCGCGATAAGTTTTTAGCGCGGGTATCTTTTTCATCAATGCCATTACGATTGGGACTCGCCGAAACAGGATTATAAGGGTGGCCATCACGATCAGACGCCAATACGACAGACCCAAAGAGACATCGGCGAAAGATGAGAAGGGCATGATTGCACCGATGTAGGCAAATACTGCCAAGTTCAGTAGCATATCAAGAATCGGCTGAAAGTGAGACTCCACGGTTTCCATGCGGAACCAGTCGCTAAAAACGAAATAAATTCAAGTGAGCATGAGGTGACCGGAGTCAAAGAGTTGAATGACCATAATTAATTAATCGTTCTTACTCCCAAGTGAAAGAGTTTCCGGCTACGAAGCATGCTAACAATTCATCACTCCCAATGATTGCCACGATACCCATGATGAACAACTGGATGTCAAAAAATCTGTCAGCCGATCTCTTTTTTTTAAGAAAAAAAAAAAAAAAAAAAGCAATACAATATCGTCGCCGACGGAATCCAAATATACTTACAGCCAATACAATCGAAAAGGCCAAAAACATTTCTTTGTCAATCATTTTTCTGATTGTAAAGGGAATGGAATTGAGATAAGAATTGGTTTCAATGTATATCCATATATTCATATATGTATGTATATGCAGAATTCAAAGATTTACAAACTTGTCAACGGCCCAACGCAAAGACTTGCGCGCAATGTATCCGATTAAAGCACCCAATATAGTTGATAAAACAATCTGATATCCCATAATGTAATACGCCCATTCTCCCAAAGCGGGACCGGTCGATGTCTTTATGAGATACAATGCAAGATATAGAAAAGGGAATCCCAAACCTAACAAAGGTTTCGAATTATTATTATTATTATTATTATTATTATTATTATTATTATTTTTAAGCCTCAAAAACACGAGGACAAAGAGTGAAGAAAAATAGGTATGCGTAAATATTTACAGTCATTTGCCCCGCTGCGCGAAATAGAAATTTGAACGATGAAATAGAATGAATAAAATAAAATAGGTTAGTCGAGTGAAAATGGGGGTACAGCCGATAAACATTACTTGGAGCAAAAATCTTAATCAACCTTTCCGCCGACAAAATGTCACGTAGATGAGCGGGCACATATTTTGCCGCAAACTTCCCTTTCATAATCGAATTCGCCAGTACCTTTTTGTGAGAAAAAAAGATTGTGAAACTTTGTTTACCACCAAACCTTGTAGATCGAAGTCCTAGTGACTGTAGAATTGATACTTAACTGGATCGGTAGGTGCAATGCACGAAGAAATGCACTAAATATGGAGAAAAAGAAATATCATGGTACGAAATTCAAAGTGACCACCATCAAGGAAACAGTGAGATAATCAATCCTACCAAAGCCTCTAACTAGAATCCATATTTCGTCAGAATTTTTGTTACACGCACGAGATGTTGAGAGACCAGTCCCTTCAGAAGGAAGCTACTTACAAACGAAAGCCTGGGTATCATCAACCAAATGAAGAGAGCACTCACGATCCACATCCACGACATGACAGGGATGAGAAGAAAAAACAATGATTTGGATTCCCTCCATAGATATGCTCTGAAAATGCAACGAGAAAAATGATTAACAGATAACCATTAATAGCCGATTAGTCTAGAGGATCCCGGAGAAGATAATCAATTCGTTCGTTCATTACTTTGGCAATTCGACTCCCGCGGCCATGACCTGTTAAAGACGCACAAGTAAGTCGAAGGTGTTTTGCATAGAAGAAGAGGTACGTGGACACACAAGCAAGCACAAGTTTATTCAACCGAAAGTTGTACCTGAATCGCGATGACGATTCTGACAAATTGTTTTGTGATTTCGTCAATATCGCCCCATTTGGTCGGTGCGATTACGTTTGAGGCAAATGGACCGAGAGCGATACCACAAAGCATACAAATAACTACCAATTAATTAATCAATAACATATGTGAACTCAAAGGATGACGACATTTGGAGAACAGGTCGAGCTTACGTGATTCCGACAGGTATAATTTTTCTTTCACAAAGTAGGACACGAATCCAAAAATCACGATGAATCCACCCAATAAAGCTGCAACAAGTGAAACCTCATCTAACTGGATAAACTCCATTCCTATTATGTATAGATGTCAAAAAAAAAAATTTTTTTTCTTTTTTTCGTGTTATTCCTTAGGGAAAACAGGGTTTTTTGGTAAAGGCTAAGGAGCTCTGATGCAATTCAGTTGTAGCTTTATAAAGGAAAATTTGTGTCGCAATGAAGCCAACTTAAATTGAATTGGCACAACTGATTAATTTTGCACATGATACAATTTCGATACAATGCAATATGAATATAAGAGACTATTATCTGTGTAATGCAAACTATTTATTTATTTTTTTTTTTTTTCCACCGATCCTTCCCAAATTTAAATGGCAAGTCCGAGTAACACATGATTAAGATAACGAAAAACTACAAATTTACTTTCTTGGCATACCACCTACAGGTGACAAAAAATGTTTGATATTCATCAAATTCGTCAATGCTCTTTTCCATCATCTCATCGTATTCTTCAGATGTTATGCCCATGAATTGAAACAACACCGGTTTTATCGCCAACATCCTCGTGTATATGTCATCCTTGCCCTTTGATTGAAGATGAAATTCCAATGAGAAAAGGTAGAATGGTCGAGCAAAGGTGTGCTTACTTACCACTTCGCCAATTTTTCCCGCCCATGACTTTCCTACCGGGATCACCCTTTTATCGTGTTGAATCTGAAATGCGAAATTTTAGTTGATAGGCATATTTTTTATTATTACGAATGACCGAAGAGAATGAAAAAGGAAGACGGATTATTTTTGTTACCTGATCGAATTGACGTGTGTCGTTCACGAATTTTCCAAGAAGTTGAGAGATATCCGGATTTATTCCCATTTTGGTTAGCATCTCCCGACCTTCAGAAGTTGGCGTCAGTTAGGCGCAGCATCCTTACCAAATAAGTATATAAAAAAAAAGATCACCCACGTGAACTTAATAGTTTTTCGAACACGGGGCCACAATTTTGACATAGCTCATATTCACAAAGCTCAAGATATCCACCGACGGCCAACACGCGGACCACCTCTCGGATCACCGTTTCCTCCCATTGGACTTGCGTGAAAGCGGGCATCATAAACCTGACGTGTACAAACTCGAATGCTCCATCCCTTCGCCACACGAATAATGCAACGAGTGAGTTATTTAGGTAAAAATGATAAAAGAGCTAGTACGCTGCGGATGATCCATCGCTGTACCTGTAATTGATGCCCTCGAGGATGTTTGATTTCTGAAATGTCATGTTTTGTGGTTTAATCTTTACGGGAAAGATGGGGGAAATATCCAAACCTATAAATTTCGAGTTTGCATAATTGGTGGCCATCTCTAATGCCCATGCACCTGGACGACAATAGAATCAGGAATCACAAAAGCTTTTTTTGGTATCTCGTTTCTCGTGATAATGGATGATGATGAATTTACCTGATCCGCATCTTTAGCGACAACCATTGTTGTTGTACTGTAAGCACACAGGAATACGGGAAAATCAGCCGAGAGATCAAAAACACTTACCCCACGTCTAGAACAGAGATCCCTTTCTGATGGTCACGAAAGGAAGTGAAATTGTTACCGCCTGTGTTGTTAAAATTTTGGGAGTGCAACCGAAATTTAATACCTCTAACTGTGGAATTATCGGTGAAGAGAAATTCGATTGCCACACCGCTTTGATCAAGAAATGCTCTAGATTCAGACGATCGGCTTTCGATCAAGAGGTTACCAATTAGAATTCGAGTGTTCATCCTTCTTACTCTTACCACCTTCCACAACCGAACTCACCTTCGTCATTATCATTTGGCAAATCATAAACGATACTCGATACGTTGTGAAATCTTCGACCTTGAATGTAACGAAATGGGTTGCCTTCGCCGTCGGGGGGTGCCAAATTCTCTCCGGAGGATGACAACGAATTTTCGCTCAAAAAAACCTTGTTTCTTTCTGATTTCGATCCCGAGGAACCCATTTATTATTTATGAGGAGGAATGATGTGTCAAAAAAACCAACGAATATACCGTAATATACGTTTTCTTCATGTGGCACGATAGATATGCACCGCAACACCGGCACATGTTGTTAAATGCATGATAATAAATGAATACAGGGACAAACTTCCCTTCGATAAGGATTAATATTACACAGGGAATTCGCGATTAGCCGTGAAAGATTAGATTTTCTTTTTGTTTTTTTTAACTGATAAACTTATTTTGTTTGTTATGCTTTTCCCAGTCCAGAGGGTGTGATCCCATTTCGCAAGGTGATCCCTTTCATCACCCATTCAATAGCGCCTTTGAAATATACCAACCGAATATTTTCCGAGCACACCTCATAGTCACGTGAAATAATACACAACCTAAAGCTCGTATCTATAATCGCACCTTTCTTATCATTGATCCCGAGGTAAATAAATGCATTTGTCTCATAGTACGTCGGATGATGATAATAATAATTTAAATAAGTAACATAATATATCTATCTATCCAACTTTTTTTTTTTTTTTTTTTTAGAGAACTCTTAATAGTTTTTTTTTTTTGCCGTAATGAGTAGATCCCTTAATGTCAGCCATGCCGTACGACGTACGATTGCGTGCGTATGTACAGTATTTTCGACATCAACGGTCAATTGTGAAACGGCAAAACCACGACCACTCACTCTCTCCAATCTTTGGCGAGTTTACCGTAAGTAGTGGTGTATAGTATACCCCTCCCGGTAGAATGTTGGATTTACAGTATGTTAATAATGCGTATCTCAAAAAAAAAAAATTTTTTTTTTTTTTTTTTAATGTAATACGTATGTATCATTAGAATGGCCGGAGGTTTCCGACAGGGGTGGATACTATACACCGCTACTTACGGTATCCTGTGTTCCTTACCCCTTGAGGTGCAAAGGCATCAACTGTCAGAGAAAGCGATTACATCAGATATGAATAAAAGGAAGGTACGCGAAAGCATGAGTGTCACGATCACCTTTACTTAATATTCCGACCAACGGTAAAAATGTTGACGTCACCTAATCCCTTTGATGGTCTTCCGAATTGGGGATCATAGAATTATTGCGTTACCAATCGCCGTTCTAGAAGGTAATCTACAATCTTTTGGTTTTCCATATTTGATTCTTATAAATTTTGGTTCCTTCCTCGAAAACCGATGTTCTTTGGGGATTGGAAAATCGGGCATCACCATGACATCGGTAAAAATTCTGAATTTAACCGAAGTCAAATCACTATAAAAAGGGTCCGCTGACTGGTTAAAGAGAAAAAATGGAAATGAAAATCTCTTGCATTCGATGGGTAAGTACAACTTTAACGTCCTGGCCAGTCAAGGCTCTGAATTGAGGCAGTTCAGTGCCGTGGAATACAGTTCGTCCTTCGATCGAGAATTGGCCATTCGCATTCGCGATGACTCACTTTCCGCGGATGTCGATTCTCCGTCTCACGGTTTACTCAATGACATCCACCCAATCCATCTGAAACCTCATGCCACAAAATCAAACGTTTTCACACACAGGATGACTTACTGCACTCGTCTCAATGCGTATTATGAAAACGGTGTGACCGACAGAATTTACATTGAAAATTGGGATCGAGGGACATACGATTATCGAAACGTTGTTCGCGTGCAATCATTTGAGACAAAGAGGCATGTTTGTGTGCGCATTGATTTGTCGTTTGTCATCATGTGCAGTGATAAATTGTGATTGTCAACGATCATTAGGGTTTATCTCACCAAAGACGAATGCTGCGATGATCCCGCGTTTCTTATGTGGAAATTCCAATATAGGAATTTCAGGATTACGTCCCTCACTCTCCGGCTGATCCACATACTGGTCGACCGCAGTGCAACCATAGAATGGGACATCGCTCCGGCTCCGTTAGAGGATGGTGCCCCTCTGAACTGGAAGAAAATAAATTTCCCGGGGAACATGTTTAATGACGGTTACGGTCCAATGTTGATCGAGACCTCCATATCTATAACGCGCATGCTAAAGGGATGCACCGGTTTCATGTTGAGAGCCAGTGAAATAAGTTGGGAGAACACCCTGATCTTCCCACAAGACCTTCAAGAGTATGGTCCACCGGGAGAAGGCGAAATACTTCCTATGGACATTTATCTTGAGCTAACGCCTGATCCGGATCCACGGTTGGTGAAAGAAATCGTCCACCACACCGAACCCCTACCGAAAATAGGCGGCCTGTTCAACGAAAAGTATGCGTGTAACGTGGTCCCGCATGACACGAAACCTGAAACATTCTCACATCGAATGAGATATAACACCCGGACCAATTCGTATTATGAGAATGAACGTACCGATAAGAAATTTTTGAAGAGGTGGGATCGTGGAACCCTGAAGCACGAGAACATCTCTTACCAACCTGAACTCGAGATACATAATAGAAAGTGAGTGGAGCTAGCACAACATCACGAATAAACTCGCCACAAATTTGTGTATCTCACCTCCTCCCTCCCCCCCCCCCCCTTCTCCTTTCCACATTTAAGGGTTTATCTGGCTCGAAATCCGAATAAAATTTCCCTGCCGGCATACATCTCTTGGAGATTCGATTATCGTCCCGGTGAACATCGCGACCTCCTCCTCTGTCATGCACACATCCATTGTGATCACCTTTACTGACCTATGAATAAACTTTTCTTGCAGGAGGTTACCTCATCTCCTCTTTGACCCTGAAATTGTCGCACTCTTGCTGGTGCGAGTGTGCTAAAATTGAATGGTCCATTTGCCCCTTACCCACCCGCGATAATACCCAACCCGAATGGAAACCTTTACACTTTAACCTCCGGGAGGGAAGGAATTTACGACGTACGTTCAAGTACTCCGACCAACGAATAGATGCGACCGAGCATGTAAAGGATCAATACGGCTTCACCTTGAAAGCTCATATGAGTGGTGGCGTGTCAGACGGAATGTGGAAAAAGACTCAACTCTTTAGACAGGATCTGGATAAATCGGGGAAACTGGATGGGGAGGAAGAGGAAACGTTTGGGATGGACGTCCGTGTGGACTTGGTCCCCGACATAAGGTGCGAGCCCACGGTTAAAGAGGTGAGAATGAGGGAATTCATAAAATCGGAAAATTTAACGTGGTGCGAATACACCATCAAAGGTGAAAATGTGGAATCCGAAAGTTTGACGCGAAATGACAATAAAACCGATTTTAACATAATTTTCAAAGCGCCCGGTCATCACATTCAAATTAGTATGCACCGTGCGGTTCTCGTGTCATTCTCGGATTACTTCGTCAAACTATTTGACACGAAAATGCGCGAATCGCAATTCGGTTATGTGGAGTGGCCTCACGATTCCTTGCTAATGCTTGAAATAATTATTGAGTACATGTATACCGGAGAAGTTAAGGGCATTCACACCTTGGAGGAATGGATGGAGTTACTCCAGGAAGCATCGTACTTAATTATCCCGAGCTTGCTACAAAAATGCGAGAGATCTATAAGAGAATACGTGAACACACAAAACATCGAGGAAATTCAACAGATGGCGAAAGATTATGGCGCATGGCAACTCCTGAACTTTTGCGAAAAACACGAGGCGATGGAAGAGGAGGAGGAGGATGATACCGATAAATCTTGGGTAGAGGTGGGAGAGGTTAACAGGAGAACAACGACGACGAGAACGAGAATCCAAAGAAAATTTCACAAATTAATCGGATATTTTGCGTGCGGAAAGTAATTGGTAATATCATATGTTAGAAGATTTTGGTTAATGTATTGTATGTGGAATACGTGAAATACGCGTAAAACACATTGCATGACGTCGGTTGTGCGTTGGTGGTAATGGAGGAAGGGGACGTGTCCTAAAAGATCTAATCTAATGCATCACGTCCTTTCAAGAGAGTTGATTGGATGAATACATATGTGTAATTTAATTTTCGAGGCTTCATGTCTGCGCAATAAAAAGTGATCGATTGTGATGACCTATCATTGTTAATAAACGTCGCATTCGTAACACGGTTGACGCTCTGCACGCCTTTGATATACAAATTTATCATGCCAAAACTCTTTGATACCTGCAAGAAAGAAAAGGTACGTAGGCGTAAGTGAGATGAATTGTAGAAACGTCATTCAATGGAAAGACTCAATCGAATTCGCAATTGCATTTTTGGAAGGTACATGCAGACAACAGGTAAATTATGTACGTATGCGCTATAAAAGAGTGAGTCAATTGTTCACCATTTTCTGGGAATCCTCATTGTCTCTTCTCTTGTGTTTCGTCTTGCTTTGAAAATAAATCGTGAACAATGCCATACTACACGCGAATTCCGCAGATGACTGTCCCTCCAGCCAGCGAAGGGCCGTACGAGTGGAGACACGGATTGTTTGATTGCTTCGGAGACTGCGAGTTGTGTATGTAACATTGTCGAGCGAGGAAAACCATTCGTAAAATTCTTTTTTCACCTTTTCCAAACTTCTCCCAACCTTCAGGCGTCTTCACATACTTTTTCCCCTGCATCACATACGCAAGTATTAAAAAAAAATAAATAAATAAGAATAAAATTGTTGCAGTGCTCGTATCTTGCCAAATTTTTTGTGCACGAGGCTTAATTGATTTCATTTTACTCAGGGCCGAACCAAAGCGAAATTAAATCCGGATAGCGGATGCGTCTCCGATTGCCTTCTTTGGTATTGCACATCCGAATTCTTTGGCCCTTGGATGATGGGAAGCATAACTCGAGGCGAAATTAGACAAGCACGAAACATTTCGGCAAGTTCTGAATTGTGTTTCACTTTTCCTTTATCACCTTCACCAGGATGTAGTCTGACATCTATCACCAAATTCATTGATAATTACCAGGGAAGCATGGCTGGAGATTGCTGCATACATTGTTGTTGCTTCCATTGTGGCCTTATTCAAGAAGCACGGGAACTAGAATAAATTTAGTTACATTGAAAAATACTGTATATTGTCAAAAGGATTAACATTTTGGATTGTACATTTTTGTGAAGAAATTTCACGTTATCTTAAATCATCTGATTCTGCTTATACTGTAAACCATATTTCTCACGTGAATTCGAACTTCGGAAGAGATGCTCGGCAAGGAACGAGCAGTAAATAAATTTTAAATCTTTCATTACAACGTACCACTCGCGTTCATCTTCTCCGTCTCCTCTCATAAGCAGGAGGAACGTTATAAAGAACTTCCGAGATTACCTGTTTGTTTGATCGAATTTATTGATTCATTGGAAATGATAAATTAAAACAGCTGTTGTTTTTCCGTCATCACTTATAAATCATCTCGATCGTCGTAACTGAGATTGGATAAACGCTGCGACATTTTTTATTAAAGAAACCTCTCTGCCCCAACACACTCAAAACTCTTGAACAAAAGTTCAAGACACCTCTCCGTGTTGTGTATGAGGGGGGGATGGTGGATCTCTTGCGTCAAGAGCTTGAGCGCCCTTCGCCATTTGACTGGCAGAGGAGATCTCGCGGCGTCCGTCATCCACGGGTACCGCGCGTCCCACGCTTGAACCGCCGTCTTCGTGAGGACCGACCGATCCACGCTAGTGTTTCCTTCAAGAGAACTGCGAGAATTTCGCAAGAAGAAAAGTGTATCTCGGGGAATTATAACCGTTCGCGAAGGGACTACGTGACAAAAATTATAAATAGGAATAATGCAGGCAAATGTTCTCATGTGTGCTTTTATTGAAGCTATCAACTTTCGCCTTATTAGTCATCATCATCATTCGACATCGATCAGCCGAGCGAGTGAAGGAAAAAGGTGAAGTTGCAGTAATCATTGATTTAAGGATTCGATCAAATCATCAAAATATCTATTGATCTTTATAAATTTAGTGCTTTAATTTAATTTATTTATTTTTTGATGGAACAATATTAAATGTCAAAGTCGTTTCCTTTTAGATTTTTTTTTTTTTTTTTTTCACTCGATAGATTGCAGCGCCTGTTTATTATCATCATTTTTTTCGATAAAGGCAAAAGATACGGATTAGTCATCATCAATTTTGTCGCATGGTCGATAAAAATTTTGTTCAAATCGTGTTTCTCTGTTTAGCACCGAACAATGAACGTCCTAAAGACTTTTTTCATTGTACTCTCCGCAATAATCGTAGTTTCGCGTGCACAATTTAGCGTTCCGGGTGTGGGAGGTAATGGACAAAATCCGGGTGGTAGCGGTAATTTTGACCCAACAAGTCTAATGAGTGGTAATCCAAAAGGTAACAACGGTAACAATGGTTTTGATCCCACGAGCCTTCTGGGTGGCGCCAATCCATCAGGCGGGGGCAATAATCAAATTCCCGGTCTCGACCCATCGATGCTCGCTGGTCAGAAACAACCACAACACGCACCCCAGGGCACACCTCAAGGGGCACCCGCTAAAACCGCGTCACCACAAAATCAAGCCAAATCTCCAAGCATGTCTCCCAACACGGGGGGGAATAAAGCACCATCCTCGGGAACTCCCAATGCAGCACCTGCAAAAAGTAAGTATAAACAAAATCCGCTCGCCTCATGCACCACTCTTAACTTCTTCGTAAAAAAAAAAACCTCGCGATTCGTGTGACACAGGCAAAGCTCCAGCTGCGCCCAATGTTTGTAAGATTCCGTGGCAGGAGAAAGAAAAGGCATGCATCTTGGTCAGGTATGTAGGATGAAGAAGCTCCCTTCAACTGGCGGTAATGTATCATCTAATGAATCACAATTTATTTTATTCAGCGGACCTTCCAACAATACCATCATCCAACCTGGATCCACACAGCGTATATCTTGGAATCAGTCCCCTTGTCAAATGAGCGCAAGGGTTGTCGGAATGTTCCACGTGTTCTTGTATAATAATTTGCAAGCGGTTCCGGACTCGAAGAAACGTGGTCTCGTGAAAAGGGATTATTCCCCAAATGGCAAGGTTGAGATCTGAGTTTTTCGAATGTATTCGGGGGAGGAGACCGACGATTTCTCAAAAAAAAAAAAATTTTTTTTTTTTTTTTTTACAGATCACATATGACTGGGGTCCATACCCCATTGCCAATAATTTGACCAACACGACGAACAACTACAATTGGTAAGAACCAATGGAATATTTTGTTATATTTAATTCATTATTAATGAGCGAATCCGCATTACTATTTTCAAGGGTCGTTCCATACCTTTACGACGAACCTCGAATTAAAAACGCGTCGAACTTCTATATTCGCGTTGAAACAATTTCGAGATCGGGAATCTTTGGAGCCACACCGCCATTAGGAGGCACTTACGGGCCAATTAAGATTGCTTTGAAAGAACCTCCACCGGGTTGGAACGAATCTCATGCCGATTCCGCGGTCTCATCCGGCGCCCAAAAAGTCATTTCACCATCAGCGGCAATTAGAATTAATGTTACACGGTTCATAGATTGGACGGGGTTGTTCGTCATTTGTTTATTGGTTGTTGCGGGTACAACCTGTGTGGCACATTAGCCAAGGGACATAAGACCCTGCAATAAAAGAAACACAAACGCTGAGTTCGTGTCGGATGTAATCACTAAAAGGATTGGTTGGGATCGAAGATTTAAAAATTGACAATAATGTAGAAATGGTTTTCATTGGAATTGAGTGAAACTTTTTTTTTTCGCACAAGAGCGAATTGATTTTATGTTTGGTAAAAACATGATTGGAGTGGTACTGTGTAGAGATACAGTTTTTTTTTTTTTGATAATATAATTTTAAATTTCTATCATCTTAAAACTATTTACGTGCAGCCTCGAACCCTTCAAGTGTTCAATGAACGATACATTCGTCTATATCGAAAAAATCTTTAATCCTTTCGTCGAAATAACGATATTATTGTTGCTTTTTCAGTGTCCGTGAGTAGATTGTTTTGTAAGATTACTCTATATGCGCTTTCCAGACTCCGATGGGATTGACCGGCGTAGGCTACGACGCAAGCTTCGCGAACTGCCAGTGCCACTATGCGCGCCCTTCTCGAATCGTCCTCCGGTATTTGTATGTCGAGCTCAGAGAATGAATTTCTACTTTCCATAACTCAATTATTGAATCCACTTGAGAAGTAGAATAGGCGAATAATTGGTATCGAAATGTTACGCAACTTTTATGTACAATATACGTACGTCTTTAGAGGAGAAATCGTTTTACAAAGGAGAAAGTGTGTATGTGTTTAAAATATCGAATTTTTTTATTTTTTTTTTACTTGATTTGCGTGAATGGATTTCGTTAGAGAATTGGTTTCACCAAAGAAAGCGTAATTGGTCAATAATAATTTGTGCATTGACTTTATAAAAAAAGGTATATTGGATATTTTAAACAATTGTACGATGGTCTAGATCGTTCTACCTTAACTGTCTGGACCCAAGGATTGCTCCTAAAATTCATTTTAGATGTGCATTACATATCGGATGAATGATTTTTCTTTGTGCGTAGGTGAACCACGAGTCCGTTGTTGAGTCCCGCATAAAGTTCAGAAAATTTTAATTGTTGCCCGATAAATCCAGAAATAATCGAATAACTGCACAATATTGCGGAAAGGCGAGATACAGTATATGCGTGGAGATAATAAATAAAATATAAATAAATTTTCCGTGTCTATCTAACGATGATGATAAGGACGATAAGAAACATCTGATCTGGGAGTTGGGGATTGTCGTGACTGTAAAGGAGAAATAAATGTTTTGAATATGTGGGTAAAAAATTGTGTCATTCTTACGTACGCCAAAGAAACATTAGGATTTACGCACTATTTACTAAACAGTATGATTTCAAAGTGCAATTCTACTTGGAAAAATTACTATTAACGTTTGAGCGCATGAAATATAACTATCATCACTTGAAATCTATTGTTCTGTTAAAAAAAAAAAAAAATTAGAATGAACGGCAAATATGATTCAATATGTCATTGGCGTTGTGAAGGTGAATGCCAAAATTGGATTTAAATAAAATACAATAAAATTATAATCTTTAGAATTCTTTGTTAATTTATTATTTGTCAAATACTTTATATGTCTTTTATCAGGTCAATATTTCTATTTTAGATTTTTAATTTTTATTTTTTGACTTTTATTTATCTATAATCTTTTTATATCTTATATTTTATATTTTTTTTAAAAATTAGTTATAGATTTTTTTTATATTATTCATAATAATTATTTTTTTTGATTTATTTTTTATTTTTTTAATATTCTAGTTTT